AGCCATGTGACTAGACATGATCAGATGACGTTAATTTGGTCGGGGTTCAAATATGCCAAGGGATTTCTTCGCACTTTGAGCCCTGGGCCAGTCTCCATCTCACACTGCAGTCGTAGCAGCATGAACCCAAGCAAACTGTGCCCACGAAAATCTGTGATCTGAAACCACTTCCCCGCGGCCGAGCCTCATAAGATTTGGAATACAGAAGCTGGCCCAAGAGGCAAGGATTCAAGACTTCAGCAAATTTAGTCTCGTCCCAAATTTGACGAATCCCCGCAATGCCTCACGACGTCTACAAGCAGAATCCATTACATCTTCGTTTGACTGGCTACGATTCTAGTTGACTCGCTCTTTGGCGACAGCCGGCCTCCAAATCTAAGCTCACGAACCAATGAATATCTGCAAGAAAAAAATCGCGGCACACCCATGTCGCTAGCCTCATCCTCGAGATGATTACGGAAGAGATCAGGACTGATGGGAATATTAATGCCAAGGGTCAGTATAGTTTTGCAGGGGATTAGATTTCGGATTTTAGGAAGGAATCTCGACAACACGTATTGTGCGCTCCCCGACATGGTTGGCGAGAGTGCGACAACACTATTGAAATAGCCGCGGCTAGTTGGTGCAGCGGTACATCATCCAGGCTGGTCAAGTAGAGTCTGAGTAGCTCGGAAACCGAACCCACCGGATACATGAGCCTAATTCGAATCTAGCAACGCTCGACTCTAAATATCTTATCGCTCGTATACCGGATTGTGAAGGCTGTTTAGATAAGCAAGCGCTCTGAAATTTCTCTTTGACGGCCACTTGCGGACGAAGGTCGGCCATTCTGTGTAAACTAAGTAGCACAGCTGTAATGGCGGATGACTCATAGGTTATGAGCATCTCTAAGCTCAAAAAAGCCCGTAGCTATGCACACAAGAGGCTCATTTTATGAGAAAGCTAGATAGTTGAATATACAGTAAAAGATTAAAGAGACCCAAGTTCACCCACAACATGGAGGTTTCTCCCATCCTCAAGCTAAGATTATCTATGGCCCTACAAAATTCATCTAGAAATGATACTGCTCATGATGCGACGCGCTATATTTTTACCAGATACGGATATGAGAGTGCTGATCGTCGGTTGCACACTGGAACCAAACGCAGTTTCTGACTCAGAACATATTTGTGTGTGACTCCAAGTCCACAAGGTAGACGACCGACAAAGCCCCCCGTGTCATCTGGGCTCAATTCCCAGCCCCTTCATTGCTCAAGCATCTGGAAGTCTGACTATACGCTTGCTCGGATCCTGTATCTTCACTCTATCCAGAGGTAAGATCGGGAGCCGACGTTGAAGCGGAGACCGGCGTAGGTGAAATAGGCTAGCAGGTGGAAGAGCTATAATTATGCCTAATTTACCCGACATTGTAGCGTAGAGATTAGCCTCGTAAGTGCAACTGTAGCGGTGCATTCACTCTGCTACGTGTAGGTAGTGCAACTACTTGCCCACCACGATTTATTATCGCCTTCATCTTGCCACAACACAATGTTGCGACTATTGCCCAAGACTATGGCGCCACTCCGAAACGCAATACTTGCCAACACTGAAAATACGGCTCTGGGAGGATGCAAGGCTTATCCTCATCCCTCGGCATGCGAGATACCTCCAGTGTCCGCTTTGGGGGCTCGGGTAAAAGCTGCCTCTAGCCATCCATCTAATTACTCTGAATATACTCAGTCTGCAGTCACGGCGGGAATCAAGTTGACAAATTCAGCTGCGTTGATGGACCGAGTGCAAGCCAAGTCAGATGCAGGTGGTGGGAGGAAAAATACGGACTATTCGTCGAGCCTTTTTCCAACTCAGCCTACCAGCTTTCTTTCAGAACATGCATTATTTTACTGATGCCTATACTGCGACAGTGATGATAATTCATGGTGTTTTCCAGGATAGTTTGAGTGGCCTGGGCACCTACTTTATTTGGGAAGGAGACGCCTCAGACCACATTTCGCCCAGAGAAAAGCCAGCGGATGATGGGGGCATGTCCGCATAACTCTGGGTTTTTGGAACGTTCCCCTGGCTGGGTATTCACAGATGAGGGCTGATTTGGGCTGAAGAAATAGCTACCACGACTCAGCAGTGATACTTGCAAATGAAATCTGAGGCATAAGAGCTCTTCCTTTATATTGAGCCATCTTTTCTGTACTCCTTCTCTGATATTGTATCATAGCCAGATAGCCGCATACGCAATTAGAATCTGATGCAAAACAATGATAGTTATGTAAATTCTCCTGTCCTTAAAAATAGTAAATTTTATTAGGACATGTGTGGATATTGGCACTGAAAGAGTGGCTATAGAGAAATTTACGGATATTAGTTACGTAGTGTCAGTGCGGCGTTGGAGTTTACTTCCGTTCATTATTCATGATAGATACAGAGATATAAGCATACGATTTGATCAATAACCATTTTACCCAATCTTTGTGCTCACACACTACCTAGAACCGGTAATGGGCCGAGAGGACACTTGGGTGTTCCATAACTACTAGCCCCAAAAACCTTTGCCCGGGGCAGCGTACTCTATTCTGTGATTTCTTCATATTTTCTGTCAGGCGTTGTAACTAGCCGTATTTTTAATCGAGTTCATTCACGAAGGAGCCGTCATCTTGTTGCTATTTTGTACCTCCCGCCAAACAAACGAAGATCACTGAGGGCGCTGAGTTGTCTAGAAAAAGCTCAGACGGCCACGGGGTTTGGGGATTCCCTAGCATCAAAAACAGAGCTTGGTATGAAGACAAAGCTACCCTTTCGAAGATATTGGTGGGAGACTCTAGCCGAGCGGAAGAGACCTGTCAATACCAAAGAACCCATCTTTCTCACTCCTTCATCTCCTAAATTCAAGTCTCTCTTCCATCCTGAGCCAAATGAGAGGCTGTTGAAATATATCCGAAATACCTTCGTCCAGTGAATCTGCCCTGAAAGCCCTAGGCTAGATCTCAACCATTCTCATTAAAATCACGTTCTCGGGAAACTTGTGTCGGATGAAAATATCGCTGGATAGCGGAATATGAAGCCAAATTCGCAGAAAAGATGGAATTGACGAGTCGGGGACCGCTGTTCTGGAGGAGGAGCGGGTATGATGCCTTGATCTTGTAGAGTCTTTGTCAGGCGCTAATGAAAGTAATTTTTGGAATCTGACCAGAGCTCTATGATGAACATTGCAGCGTCTGATGTTCGAATGCTTATTCTCTTCCCCAGCATTGGCCTCCTCGAGGTGTTCAGCGGAAAAGTTATCCAACGCATATCTCTGAGAAGGTAAGAGGAAGCTCATTTTAAAGAAGATGAATTGTGTCAGTTGAGCTTGGCGATTCAGATTTCTGGACGAGAAGCGGCAGTTCAAAGCAGATTCCTCTGACGCTTGTTGTGCCCGCGCATCCCCGGCACATCTAAAGCTCAGCCAGCTTTTCTGGATCTAGACTTTCGCCTGCTGACAACAATTGGCTAGCTGAGGAACATTATTTGCTTCTTCTCGACTTCGGGCTAGGTATATCGACGACTAGCTTATTGAACCTAACCAATATTAGAGGCTCTACATAGAGATGTCCGAGAGTCATACGGGTGACGGCTATCTGTGAGGCGATGGGGTTTTATCAGTTATGATGACGTTGGTGGTATCTAAAACTGCACCTACTAAGATAATGAATTCGAGTGAAATTTGCCTTCACTCGCCTGTACACAGAAGGGATTTCCAGAACCCATCAGTAAACAGTGACCTCTACGACAAGAGTTTATAGAACGCATTAATTCTAGTGATAGGATAAAGCAAGTGGATAACTTTCAATCTCACGAGCCTGAGCACTGTGGGCTGCTTCTTAGGCCCAATTAGTCCCTTGCATGATCTGGGTTGAATTTTCTAATTTGTTCATTTATTCATGGTACTCATGATGCCACCACTGATGGAAGACAAGCCTAATATTTCCCCAACTTGAACTTGAATAATTCGAAGCTTTGTCGTAGTAAGGGATGTACATTTTGTGAGTGTTCTGCGCATGGAGCTCTCTCGGAAAGCAAATAAAGGGATGTAGCACATCGCAGTCCTATTAACATCATGAGCGGACACCCTGGTGAACCAGTAATGGGGATCCCACTATCAAATGAATGAAACCCCCAATTAGAATGAAAAAGAAGAGTTGTGTCCAAAAATTCTGTCCAACATAGTCGGAAAATCAAATAGTACATAAATGGATAAATGAATCATGAGCAGATTAGGACTAGTTGACTATCTTTGCCTGTAAAGCCGTAATGTATCAATTCACGTGGTTTAGTAACGCAGTGTGATGCCCACTCTAGACCAGTTGATTCGGCCTCAACTACGTTTACATTGAATTCGATGACTATGCTTTGAAACACCATCTACCGAGGGCCTGAATTAATCTAATATTTGAGCCACACAGTTGACGTAGTTCTACAGATCCCATTAGATATAACCTGATTGTAGGACAAGTTTGCCCTGACCTTTCATTAAAAAGGTATAAGTCATTATTCACTATGTACAAAATACTACATGCGCTTGTATCTCTTCATAGGATTTTCTGTGAGTAAGTTGTGCCCTATCCCTTTGGTGTTTCCCTGCTAAAAAGAACTGTAAGCTTCATCTTTTACCCTTACCTCATTATTCAATGTTTTCCACTTAAGCGCTGCGGCAGGGAGTTCAGATCTTGGCGGTTTCAGACTAGAACTCTTTTTCTTTGAAAGAAGCAAGTTAATGTCGTGCTCCGAATTTTTCCAGACTAGTTGGGGTTGTACCATTGTAAGCCATTGAGTTCCCGAGAGTCATATGACTAGAGCACCTAGTCCTCAAAATTACTGAATAATCAAACAGCTCAATATAGTAGCGTGTGCCGGCTTTTTTGGTTTTTTCTTCATGTCTTTTGAGCCAATAATACCTGGTTAAGATTACTGTAGGAACATATTTTATCTTAACCCCTAGATTAATCCAAGTGACGTCTTGTTTTCCAATATCACGATTCATCTTTTTCATATATAATTTCCGTGTAACTGGGTAACAGGCTTTGTGTCTCAAGGTCTTGAACATCGTCAAATTTACCCCAATTTTCTTGTTGATAAACTCTATCATTTTTGTCTGATTTACGTCTAAATAGCATTTTCCACGTATATAATGCCATCTGAACTATGAATACCCCAAGAACACTGGCTAGGATACCAACTGTACCACCAATTAGGATAGGTACTATGACATGAAAAAATATGCCATTAAGAAAACTGTAGTCATTTCCCTGTCTATGGGTCTGTCGTATTCTATTGAGACGAGAATACTGTCGGAAATGATGCGATCTTAATGCTGACTTGGTGCTGGTAATGAAATTGGCGACGGTGGCTTGCCATTCGCAGGAGAGTGAGGCACATCTTTGAACATCCTTTCCAGACGCTGTGTCCACTTTTTCGGAAGGATGGACGCGGATGTCCTGAATCATAAATTTGCCGGATGATGTGCTGATAAGCTCTATATGGATTACTGGACTCTTATCGACAGCCACATTTGATACTTGGAGCATACTGATTTTGATTATAACGAGACTAAGCTGGTCGCGTTTGTTGTGTGAATTTAAATTCTGGTGATTCATTTTAATGCCTAGTGTACCAGAAGATTGAAATTTCCATGCGCTTTGATCAATCCTATTAATTTGTGGAACAATGATAGAGTGTTGAGATAAGATTGGATTGAGATCGACAGGATAAATCTGGTGTCCATTGAGCAAGAGATAATCAACGTCGTCGTGTAATACAGTGAAGTTGAGGTGAAGAGCAATTTTAGAACTTTGATCTTCCTCTTGTGACTTTGTCATGGCGGGACGTGTGTGGCAGTTGACTTGGACCATGCGCCTTTCCATTGCAACAGCATCTTTCTCACTTATCGTCTTTGAGACTTCTAAATCGTATTCTGAGATTGCGGGTGGAATAAGTAAAGCATGTACTATCCGGAGGAAGAATGTAGTATGGACCAGTAGTGAAAAACGCATTATGCCGCCAGCTTAGAAACTAAAGCGATGTGAGATTAGACTGAGGTACTTTGGGTCGCGCAGATATGTCGGCTTTATTGTCTGTGCAGAGAGTCATATCCCTAGATTGTACCACGTGATTACTGGGCCCTAACACATGAATTAATTTACACTCGGCACTAGTATATTTCTAGCCGTCATGTGGCCGCTTTTGAAAGAGGCTAGACGCCAAGGTTGCTTGGTGACTTCGAAATATAGTCGTCCGTAACTTTTTAATTTATTTTGGTACGGTCAGGGATGCCACCGTTGTATAATTCTGTACGGTTTGTGACTAAACCGAAAATATGTGCTCCTTGAAATGCCGTTCGGTAGTTGTTTTGACTGAGGTCTTCCATGGCTATTCCTGGTTTTTACTCGAGAATATCAGCTTGAGCGTCTATTCTCAGACTCTCTAGGTTCGTGGGCCCCTACCGCATCTAGATAGTACACTTCTAGTCATTGCAAAACGTCATATCGAATCCTAGTACCTGCACTTACCGCTAGCCTCGTATACTTGCATTCGGATGTCTGGGGTCATTCCACAAATCGCAGTTCCGATCTGCTAGACCACCCAGCAAGCGCAACTCGGAAACATTTGTCAAGACATATATCGCCCGTCCCCGGTTATCTCCATGGTCAATCGCACCTATTACATGACTGGTCAATTCACTTAGCTATCCCTGTACTTTCACCTATTTATAACGCTTTCACATAGAATAAAGCTTCACATTACTGTCCTGAGATAATCCACGGTACTTCTACATCAAACTCTGCGGCAATATGTCGTGTTCACGATTGCTGCGCCAAACAGTCCAGATTGCAAGAGCTTCTCCGCGTACATCTACCAAATCGTTCACCTTGCAGACCAACTTCAAAAAATTTCACTCAGCAAGTAATGTCTTAAAGGAACCCAAAGATGAGATCTTGTTTGAGGGTGCATTTGCGCGAACAGATCCCTCAGTGGAATTGGAATATCCAGCAGAGGATGAATTGCCATCCAGTGCTCCTGTACAAGGCAGGGGCGGACTTCATTTCAAACGGACCCTAGCTTCGTTCTCCCTAGAGGGAAAAGTAGGCATAGTGACAGGAGGCGCCCGAGGACTCGGTCTTGTCATGAGTCAGGCTATGGTAATAAGTGGGGCAGACGTGGCTATCGTCGATCTTAATAGTATGATCGATTTACATGATTGTTCTATTTCTAACTATTCACAGAAGAAGAGGCTGAAAAGCAATCGGAAGAATTGGTGGCATCTTTTATCCGCGAGAATCCGGGTGCAATTAAGTAACTCACCCTCCACTTTAGTTGATATGTACTGATTTACTGGGCAGAGTTCCTAAAGTAACCGCCCATTATGCCGATGTTTCGTCACAAGATTCTGTTGATGCCGCGATTTCTGAAGTGATTAACCAACACGGCAAGATTGACAGTTTAGTGACTTCTGCAGGCTTCACTGAAAACTTTGAAGCCATAAACTACCCCATCGACCGTGTGCGAAAATTATGGGGCGTCAATGTCGACGGCACTTACCTATTTGCCATTGGAGTGGCTAAACATTTGATACAACGAAAGTCACCAGGAAGCATGATTTTTATTGGAAGCATGTCTGGGGCCGTCGTGAATGTTCCACAACCACAAGCACCATATAATGCCGCTAAAGCCGCTATTCGGCACTTGGCATCAAGTCTAGCAGTGGAGTGGGCTCATGCGGGAATCAGAGTTAATTGTATTTCGCCTGGATACATGCTCACTGCATTGTGAGTTTAATGATTAAAAGATAGATTAAGATCTAACATATGCTCAGGACCAAAAAAATACTCGAAGAGAATCCTGATTTAAAGAAGCAATGGATATCTCGTATTCCACAAGGTAAGATGGGGAATCCAGAAGATTTGATGGGAGCAGTTACCTTTTTGGCATCTGATGCCTCATCGTACATGACGGGTAAGCTTACTATCTAGAAAAACTGAAGTCAACATACTAATAGACGATAGGCGCTGATCTAAGGGTGGATGGGGGTTACACCCTAACTTGAGCAAGATTCCAGCAAGCATGCTCTTGAGTATTAAAAAAGTTGACCTGTATTGAATTTGTATAATAATACCTGCAAAAGCATAAATTTAAGAGAAAGATGGATCTTAACATGCGAAACAGCTATCTTCAGTTTGGTAGCAATATTTTTGCCATAACACCAGCTGTCCGGAGTTCTAGCAGATGGTTAAGGGCTTTGACAAGTAATATCAGATCTACGCAATATGTATCAACGTCTGAAGACCCTTGAGAATGATGCCTTCACAGATTAGCGTGGTCGGGGTTCCATGGAGATAAGACATTAGTACGATTAAGAGGCGTATGGTGATCTGAAAGTAGATCTCTTGTCAGGGCAGTAGAAGTTTGTCTACTTTGCCCCTAACGGCCTTTCCTCTTCATCTACCATCACTATGACGCTTTTTGAGGTACACACATTTTTAAAAATCGAGTTTGGTTTGCCCAGGGTCTGGTGCATGTATTGAAAATACATGCTACAGCTTTTTCAAAGTTTGTAGCCCAATGCTTGTGCTAATGAATTAGCTGAATGCATCTTCTAAGAAAGAATTACATTAAACTTCAATTCTATATGTACGCTGGATGGTAGCTTACGTCATGGCCAAATTACATCATAGGAGCCAGTGATAGTAAAATGTTTCGCACTAAAAAAGGATCTCCCAGCCCTAATCCACAGGACGCAAGAGTTGGCAAAATGCTACAATCCCTGCTCTGCGTTTGTGGGTGTGATTTGGTTTGTTCATCAACGTGCTCGGTAAAATGAATCCCGTTGCACTCCTACTCGAGCTTAAGCCCGGGTGCGGCCGGGCTGGATCAGGTTAACTACCATCAAGTACATCTACCTCGTCCCACCTACATGGTAGGACCACCTCAGACTCCACCCATGTGTTGAATCATGTCAAGCCCAACCGTCCAGAGAACCCCCTTTTGCCACGCCGAAGCGCAAATTCCTCTTCAGCCTCGGCCACCATGCGCCCGAGCCCTTGACAACTTCGCCATCTGTATCTTTTCCCTTTTCTTAGAATAAGATTCTTGTACACGAGTGGTACGTAAGTACTGGAAGTAGAATTGATAAAGTATTGAGTTAATCTATCGTGTATGATTCTCGCGATCGCAGCATCCTTCAATGCTGCGCCCATACTCCTATTAATATGTGTCTGCCAGCCTCGTCTATGCGCTAATACGGAACTACTAATACAGGGTATCTAAGATATTCAAACGTCTTACTCTCTATACTCCTAAGTAAGTAATAAATACAACCATAACTCCATTATGTTCAGGTACAGGAATGATTATGTTTGACCAACAATCCTATATTTCAACACCTTTCATTCATTCCCAGCTTTAGCTCACCTCAGAATCTCCTCATCTCATCCAGGCGTCGTTTTCTTCATTGAAGGCCTCATCCAGTCGCCCACCAAGGCCTCCTCAGTTTGTGTTCCCATTTATTCCTTCATGTAGCATCCCTCTATCCTTTATCCGATCTCTTCATCCAAGAAACTTTGTTGAATGTCCACCCCTCCGGCCTTGCCCCGTCGCTGCCGTACCCCTAACCGTGAAGGTCGAAAACGCGACTGAGAGCTCAAGACCGAGGCACCGGTTCCCCAGCCTTTGTCGAGTACTCTAGTTGGTGTGCTGGCGAAATTTCGTACGTATTTCGACGGTGGCGATTCGTCGCAGATCGAGTTGTTGGTGTTCTTGGCCGAGGTGAGGACGCATCTAAGGCCGGTATTTCGACCGTACCTTCATAGTGACTGGCAGTTGCGGAGGGTCGGACATCCTCTCGCTTCTTTAATGGCGATTTGGCTTTTGGAGGTATGGGATTGCTTTGGTAGGTGATGAGATGATTGTGGAGAGGGCCGCGAGATGAGTTTGGCTGAGAATGGATTTCCAGAGAAAAAGAAATTAAAATCTTGAAGGTGTCGGTTGTTGTGATACGAACATCAGACAGGTTATAATCTATCTGGGGTGTAGATGGTTAATTTCATTGAGTTGTGCAGTCGTGAAATCTCTGCAAGTCGGATTTTCGACCAAAAATGAGCCAACACCACTCCTCCCGATCGCCAACTCGACGAAAACTCTCTAATACACCCTTTTTCGTGACTGAATCTCGGCTCTGGGAGAATATTTCACTCCCAGGTTCGTAGAGGACACCAGTGACAGGTCTTCAGCCTTTGTCCTCCCTAAAATTGAGGGAAGTGGAGGTTTTTATTTTTATTAACGTCCTAAGCTAAAGCTCTAGGTCCACTACAGGTACAAGACTGGTGGAGCCGGCGGGGATCACTTCTAACAGGCCCAACTCACTCCAACCGCGAGACCCGCTATAGAAAAAGTAGGAGGTAAATTATAACTCAGTAGACACCACCTACTCCGACTCTGAAATCGAGACTCCATCCTTTAACCCTAAATTCATGTACATAAAAGATTTCCTCAGAGAAACGACACTTCTCGCATCGATCCCTTTCCTGTCATGCGTTGTGGCAATGACTAGTTTATCTGATCCCCGCTGAGAGCAGTGGATGAGTGAGCAGGTCGTCAATCAAAACAGCTGGTTTCCTGCGCAAATATTTTGAAGCTATCGTGGCACTTGGGCCCGAGAAGCTTTTTTATAAAGTCAGCGTGGGACATTGACTTTCTGAGCCTACGCGTTTGTTGTGCGTGGCGGCTACAGTGGATAAGGTGGGTTGGAGTAGTTTCCTTCCCGTAAGAGCACTCCATGAGAGCGTATAGATTATGAAAGCGGCGATGGTATGCCGCAAAATTGCCGTGACCTGTTCGTGCTGCGATTAGTGCCCGGAGGAGGTGCCTAGAGAGAGACAGTTCGGGTGGTTTGCGTCTCTGCACCTGTAGGTCGAGTTGGCGGTATTGAGGCGGACAGGCCTCTTCCCACCAGTCGCCTAGTAGCCTCTGTCGTCTGCGATTCATGAGAACACGTAGATATGCCAGAGTACATGATCCTGGTGGTGTCTCCTGGCTAGGTAACTCTCGGGGGGCGGCACGGGTAATGGTGTCTGCCTCCTCGTTCCCTTGTATCCATTCGTGCCCCGGCACCCATTTTACCAATACTTTTGCGACGTTACTTAATGCACGGAAGCTGCGTACATCTTCTAGGCTAGTTGAGGACGAGCCTGTCGCTAGTGCGCTTACAGCCTGCCGGCTGTCTAGAAACACGTGGATTTGCTGCGTCACTCCTACTTTCCTGCACTGCTCTTCCTCCGTAAATTCCAGTGCAGCCTCCAGAGCTTTCCTTGCTCCTGTTATTTCTGCATCCAGCACCTCTCCCCCGTGCTTGATGCCACTTCCTTTGCCGATGAGTTTCCCATCCTTCCTCAGAACGAAACCCCAGGCGGAGCGTTCATGTCCTTCCGATGAACCATCCGAGTATGCGCAAATGTCCGTTCCCGGCACCTCGCTAATCCGTCTAACGCAACCTTCGCGTTCCATCGGCTTTGAGCCTGATTTCCTAGAGTAAACCACCGGCATCGGACTTTCAGGGTCTTCTGCTTCCGGAAGCTCTCGGTAGGCACGCTGTAAGCGTGACATCTGGATTTCTGGTCTGGCTGATGTTTTGGCAGTCTCTTTATATTTTTTGGGTGCCGACATTTGGGCACACGGAAGCGCGGATCCTCAAAGGGTGTCGATCATCAAGGGTCTTAAGCCTTGCCGGTAGTTGAAGTCGGTTTCCCTCAAGTATGACTTTTGCTGGCGGGATTCCTCCTCTGTGAAGGACTATATTTGGTGTTGTTCTCATTGCTGGAAGCGCAGCCCGTAGTCCCATCAGGTTCGCTCTATCAATCATGCTGCATAGGTTAGACGTAGATGACCTGACCATTCCTCGTATAGTTGGGCGTTTGGACCCTGGCCACCAGACATCAGATCCAAAGGTTGCTAGTGAGACAACGCACATGTCTACTGCCTTACATAATGGCCCAGGAGCTGCTCCCCGAAAGGCAGAATTGATACGGCGCATATGCTATGCAGCTTTTATTGCTTTCCCGCACCATGTAGTTACATGGTGTTTGAAATGGAGTCGAGGATCCAAATGTACGCCCAGCCATCGAATATGATCAGCGGGCTCGATGAGATTTCCATTCACGTGAACCCCAACTGCTTCATCTCGGCGTCGTCCTGAGAATTGGATGACTTCAGACTTTTCTGTTTCGAAGGCAACGGCATTTGTCCCTGCCCACTCGAGAAGATGCTCTACCTCTCTCTGTGCAGCGCTGGCAGATTCGGCAACTGTGCGTCCAAACCCTAGAATTCCAATATCATCGGCGTAGCTAAACCTCGATCCTGGGTTGCCGCTTTTCATTGGCTCCGCCATGTACAGAAGGAATAGTAAAGGCGAAATTGGTAAGCCCTGCGGGACTCCACAGACCAACTCTCTCTGGGTGGTGACTCCGCCGAAAAAACGCACTTGAACTTTCCGGTGTGTGAGGAATGAAGTCGTCCACCGGAGGATTGAGTCTGGCCATCCCTGGGCTTGCATGCGCCTAGCCAAGCGACTCTGGAGCACTGCATCGAACGCTCCTTGGAAGTCTAAAGTTACAAATGTCGAGGCCCATCCCTGGGAGCGTGCTTCTTCGACGTCGTGGACTACGCAGGAGACCAGGTCCGTTGCAGATCGCTTTGGGAGCGCACCGAATTCTTGATGGCCAACCACATCATGAGTGATTGCGAGGTGCGCCATTCGCTTGGCAAGAAGTCTTTCTAATCCTCTGCCTAGGCTCGAGAGTAGAGCGATTGGTCTCCAAGCTTTGATTGAAGTTGGATCCCGATTTGGCTTTTCCAATAGCACCACTTAGGCAAGTTTGAAGCAAGATGGGTGGAGCCGAGCCGTATGCAAGCTCTAAAGAGCTGCGTAACACACGGTCCGATCTTCTTCCAGTAGGCCTTAAGAAGCTCGACTGTGACTCCGTTTGTTCCTGGGGCCGCCTCGGTGCAGCCGATGGTGCAAGTTCGCACTTCATTGTCTGTTATTTCGTCTTC